GAATAGTGTAATAGCTGACATTTTCCTATTTTGAACCCAGGATTGGTTGAATCCAACCAAGGTTGGTTAGTTTTTGATTTCAGATAGGTTCTCAATATGCAGTTGAGCCTGGTTCTGAACTCACTATATACATAGCCCAGACTGGCCTCGCATTTACACTGATCTTCCTGCCTCAATCTCATTAGTGCTGGGATTACAACCATGAACCACCATACCCTGCTATCGGGAGTACAGGAGCCAGAGGCCAATGATTCCTGACAAGTAGGCCCTAAGAGGTGATTGTCATCCCATTGATCAGTAATGCCGGAGGGTCAGTGACACTCACCCTACCATTTCTGGGTTTCATCACAGTGCTCCACGAGGCCATCTTGTACCAAAACAAACCCTGTATCTTGTAAGGGACAAAACAAAATCCAGGCTGAGTTTTCTCAGTTGCCTGATGAACTACAATTTACAGCTCTTGTTCTACTGTTCATACTGAAGTCTGTCCCCCCTTTACACAGCATACATAATGTTTATATTCAGGTCTGGACACTCTCCACGTGGAAGTGGGAAGCACTGGGGTGCTCTTGTTCCTCCATCCACAACCCTCTTTCCCATCTCAAGCAATTCCACTTGTTTCTTTCTTTTTTTTTCTGTATTTTAAGGAAGGGTTTACAGGGTGTTCAGGTTCTCACTACTGGATCGGACTTGTAGCAATCTGACTGTTTACAACCTGCCAAGTGTTGGGATTACATACGTGCACCACCATGCCCAGATTGAATCTCCATCTCTGCATCCCATGGATGGGGCCGGCATGGCAGGCCCAGGGAATGGACCCTCAGCCCCTTCACCTGCTGGCAGGTGCTTTAATCAACTGAGCTGTTTGGCTGGAACCTCCAATAATTTAGATTTCAAGTTTCTCCTCTTTGTTTGTTTTTGGCTGTCTCAATCTTCCTTAAGTGCTGGTCTGGTAAGGCATGTGGAACTGAGGATCGAACCATGGTATCTTGTGCCTGACTGTGTTTGCATGAGTAGGCACTTAAACAACTGAGCTAACC